CGAGAACAGTTTATCGGGGGTACGCGTTCTTATGCGAAACATCTTGCAACAAAAGAACATTTCAAAAATTTTTATTTCAAAACAAAGCTAGCCATGAAAATTTATGATCACGTATTTTCTATTAGCTATTTTTTGCAGAGTTAACAGTTAATAATTAGTGGTGCCAACAGCAAATGTTAATTAACTTTTGTACAATTTTTTACAGTAAAAAATCTATTCATTTTTTTATTAGTGGTACACAGCGTTACGAAAAATTTAGAAAGGGTACACAAAAGTCATAAGTATGAGAAACAATGTCTTAGAGCAGTGTTTCCCAAACTTATGGCTTTTGTGTACCGTTTCTGAATTTTTCGTCGCGCTGTGTACCACTAATAAAAAATTAATGTATTTTTTTAAAAATATGTTTATTTTTACTAGAAAAAAATTGCACAAAAGTTAAAAATCACAACTGGTTGTTGACACCACTAATTATTAACTGTTAACTCTGCAAAAATTTGCCAATGCAGAAATACGTAATCTTACATTTTCATGGCTAGCTTTGTTTTGAAATAAAATTTTTCGAAATTTTCTGCAGTTGCAAGATATTTCGCATAAGAACGCGTACCTCCGCTAAAATGTTCCCGTACCCCTGGTGGTACTGCGTACCACCTTACTTTGAGAAACACTTTGAGAAACACTGCACTTTGAGAAACACTGCCTTAGAGCAGTAAATTTTACTATATCCTGGTAGTTTTGACCATGTTTCTTTCTTAGTGAAGACTTTAGTTGATTTCTTTGTTAAAATTATGACTTATTGCAATTAGAATTACAAGTTAAATGACAAGTTACGTTTTTTTCTTTACTTTACTCATTATATTTTTAAATTTAGCGTGCTGTAAGATTTAGCCCTTGTACAGAATTTCACTTGAAATGCCTGAACATTCGCAAGAAATCGCTTTACCCAACTGATTTATCTCTTTCAGAAAAAAGTGAATGTGCAGAAAAAGCGCAGTTCTAATTTATAATTGTTATTTCTTACTTATTCTATTTCAAGACTCGGAAAGCAGGGAGAAAAAGAAAATATACGTAACCTGACGTGTAGTGAATTCAAGTATCATAAGCTAGTCCAATTTTAGCACGTTTTCGCAGATTTTTGCAAGCGAGCGATATTTTGCCGTGAACACCGAGAAAATGGGATAAAAATATTGTTAAGTTACAAATGTTTGACTTCCTGTTTCTCTTCTTTTACGAAATGAAATAATGTGGAATTAAGCAGTATTTTTATTCATTGTTTTCAAATAAAGTTTCTGAATTACATTGATATAACTTCTGCTTTCTGAAATATTTGTTTGTTCAGACTTTTTGAAACAAATAATTAAATGATAAATATGAAAAAAATACTGAATTGGCGAGACATTGGCGGAAATAAATATCATCAAAAACTTAGAACGTTTATTTAAGTAATTCAAGTCCAAATAGTTACAATATTTTTTCATAAATAGTAAGTTTTTTAATGTTATAAATAATGCAAAACAACAATTGAAATCATTAAATTATTAATTGTTCTAATAATTTTGAAAACAATTTTGAGAAAAGGGAAGAAAAAAACGTTTAAAATAACCTACATATCTACATGAGCGTTTAACAAAAACTGCAAATTAAAAATAGTTTTTTATGAAAAATTAAAAAAAAATCGTTACTAACACCAATCTATTCATGTTGGATAACATATTATATTACGGGGTAATAGTGTACCCCACCAAAGGAAATAATTATAGACCAATAAGGGGGGACACAATATGGTCCTAGTGTGTTGAATAGCGTTAAAATGAGGGAATTCGCAGTCAATATTATGTATTACAACATGGCCCTATATCTCCCCTTATTATTACCTTTACGGTCTTAAAATCATTTGCAACTAGTATAGTTAAAAAACCATGAATACAAAACTGTACGGTTTTTTTTACCATTTACAACTAGCATGACTTCAAAACCGCAGAAAAATTTTAAATTGAGATTTGGACCAAAAAATTTTACTGGACATGTGCTTTTCGTTAGGTAATGGACAATAGAGCTATGTAGTGGTTGAGTTGTGTTTTATGAAATGAAAAGTGGGATGTGGTTTATTTAGTTTATCTGGTTGTTTAAACTAAATCAATGGAATAAATTGTTAGTAAACCATCTTTTCCGCGAAATTTTTATCAGTGTAATAAAGATATGTTTGCTTTTTAAGTGAAAAATTTTTGCAATTAAACCATAAATCAGTTTCAATGCGTATGAAAATAAGTGTTGTCAGTAAATAAACAGACAGAAAATTAATTAAAAAAATTAATAAAAATATAACAGTAAAAAAGTAAATAAGAAATGTCACTACATTCACTGTAAAAAATGTTAGTTTACCCCTCACCAAAAATTATGGCAACTATACACCAAAATTTTTACAGTGTAAATGTAGTTTCAAAAAGTGCATCGCAAACATGCATGCTATATTTGAATTAGTGGTGCATAAAATAAAATAATTTCTCATGTAGATGTTCATAAAACAGTTTCTAAGGTTTTTTAAACTTTGTTATAGTAACAAATCACGACGAAGGAACTTTTTTTCTATTTTCTGCTCGATTGAAATGAGTAAATAAAAAACTAAAAAAAAATTAATAAATCCAAAAAAATAATGTAACAAAAAGATAACAAAATGTGAACATCCGTTTTGATAAGTTTAACTTGATTTTATACAATATCGCATGTTTTTGTAAAAGATCATGAAAAAGTGACACAACTGGTTGAAGAAAGAAGTCTTATTATCATAACCTGAAGATAAATCCCCCCTTTTATTTACCCCCATTCCTAAGATAAAGCGAACAAATTTAGTAAGATATTTGCTTAAGGGTATATTTTAGATGATTTGGGGTGTGACAAAAATGTGAGGGAGCCTGCTTCATTTGCAGAGGGGCCTCTTATAGGATTTCGCTAGATAACTCGTTTCAGCTTTCAATATACAGAAATAATAATAAATCATTTGTAAAAACTGCCTGATTGCTAATCAAAGACACTACAATCTTTTTATTGAGCTTTGCAAAAATTGCATTTTTTATTCGAATTGCAATTTTCTTATGTCCATTTAATCATACTAATACTTTTGATCTATTTAGTGTTTTTAATGTTGCAGATAATATTAGAGATACTCCTTATATCATTTAAGATAAGAACTATTCTCCCTTAATAAATGTATTTTTTTGTCCACAAAAAAATTTTATTTTACAAAAAGGAACAAATTTAAAAGAATAAATTAATTGTAATGAATACTAGACTTAGCACACTTGCAGCACAAAATGTCCCGGTTGCGATTTCCAATCCAGCGGCTTTAACGATGCGTTCTTGTGTTTGGCCTTTTCTTAAATAATAATTAAGAAAAGCTTGATTCTTGACACTTTTTTCAGTTTTGGTTTAATTTTAAAATATTAACTAAATTGAAATAAATTTTATATCAGTTTAGTTTCTTAAATTGTAAATGAAATAAAAGCTTGCACTATAATTGGAACAAACTACAGAAAAAAGGAAAATCTAAAAAAAAAAAAATAATTTAAAAAAAAAAAGAGTCGTTAAAGACCGCTAGATTGTAATTTAGCGTCCCAGATATCTTTCTTTGAAATTTCGCTAACTTTTTTACAAAAAAATTTTTGAGTAGCATTATTTGACATGAAAACTATTCGCATGGGATTAATTTATATATTTTTTTTCACCAAATAAATTTTCTTTTATGAAAAGAACATATTTGTTAGATAAATAATGTAATAAATATTAGACTTTGTACACTTGCAACGCAAAATTTTCCGGTTATCTTTTTTTGAAATTTTATTAGTTTTTCAAAAAGATAATTTTTATTTAATTCTTCAAATTAATAGGTGCCATTTGATGCGCTGTTATAATTCCTATTTTATTAATATAGCATCATATTTATAGATACAAATATCGTTCGACATAAATTATCCCGAAACATCTATAAAAATCTATATCACTCCTCAAAAGCGTTTTTGATGGTTTCAAATGCTTATGACGTAAATTATTTAGCACTATCTATCTGCGAGCAAATTGTATGAGCTGTGAGCAAAAACTTAAACCAAAATTGTGCGGAAAAAATGCGATTAAATTTTGCAATATCGTTAACAATTAATTAAATTTTTTTTGGATCTTTTCATGTTTTGTAAACAGTGGAGATGAAATATGCAAAAAAAAAGCATAAGTTAGAAAATAATTCAAAATATTATATCCAAAGAAAAAAAATTAACACATGTCCATCTTTAGTCTCACATGAATAATTAAAAAATTTTACGCTAACAAAATATGAATATTTAAATATAAGAAATAAAGAAATTTTTCCTGTCAATAATTAAAAACGGCTTTTTTTAATACAAATTAAACCATACAATTATATAGAAAAACAATAGTTTCATTTAATTATTTATAAGGATTAGTCAGAATCAAAAATATTATATACAGAGAAAAAAAATTAGCGAATATCAATCTTAAGCCTTGCATAAATTAATGTAAATTAATTTTAAGGTTAATGTTTAATTTTATGTTAACAAAATATGAATATTTAAATGAAATAAAGAAAGATTGCCCCCTGAGAATAAATAAAAAATGCAATACATAATACAAACCAAACCATACTATCATATAAAGAACAATAGTTCCATTCTAAAATTAATATGTGGAAAGCTTTGCGAAAAAAATAGAACTCTGAAATAATTTTAGATGCGCAACTTGAAAATTTAGTTCCCCACGTCTGTTTTGATGCAAGACAAGTTACAGTATGCTGCTGCCTTGTGGAAACAAAGTGTTTCTATTAGCTTTGAGGAAAATTTTGTTTATATCATCAAAATAAAACTATCTGAACTTATCTGAATCTTAAGTTACTTATCATCTTTATAATCTTAATTGTTTTTATTATAATAAATCTAATTATAAAATGCTAAAAAGTTCATTTTATAAAATAGTATGAATAGAATCAATTTTATTACCTATTTTGACAGGTGAACTCATTACTTGCTTCAACTGTTTTATTTTTATTAAAATCAATCTTCAAATTTATCATTAAATTTTTCAACCAAACCATTTTGCCTTTTTCAGGACTGGACATATCAGGAATCATTTTTTTGTTAACATCCATTTTTTCTCTTCTTTGGTACCTTAAAACAAAAAAGCACCACACAACAACCAATCTCCTGATAAATTATAACCGGCTGTGTAAATATCCACTTCCGCTATAAAGGGAATTCCGCATTCATTGTTGTAACATACCGAACGGCTTATTTGAAAATGCCATGAATCATTTTATAACACCAAATACTCCAAAAGTTAAACAGAACATGTACTGTTCAAAGAAAACACATTTTTTCGGTTCGTTATGTTTCAAAAGCAATGAACGACACAAACCCAAACTAATAATACTTTGATCATCGGCGTATTCCTTTGCTATGCGGTACAATAAGGCGTGAGTTTAAGTTTTTAATAACATCTTATCTAATCAGTATTATTATCATTCTGAAAAAATGTACTAAACTTGCTTTATCACAATGAAAAAATTGAATAATAATTCAGTGATCAAATACGTATCAGAAGATAACCTAATCTCTTTAAGCACGCTGAATCTAAAGATCTTTTTTTTGATCTCAAATGAGTGTTAAATGGTCAAAAATTTCATTGTTGAAATAAACGGTAGTTATCTAAAGATAATATTAATGCAACACTCTAAGAAAAATGGGTTTACCATGGAACTGTACTGTCGCGATCTTCAAGTAAAATACCATGCAAATTTGCTCTAACCTTCAAGGTTTTAATATAGTTCTTCGCTTCCCCGTGTCACAAGTCCGGGGGTTCTATCCTTGGACCGCGTAAGGCTGCTTTTCATCTCTTTAGTGGGTAGATATAATGAGCACAGAGCTTGGTTGAGAACTAAACACTGGGGTTTCCGCTAACGGCTGACCACCAACCGGAACATCTGCTCTTGCACTCCTGAGCCCAAACACAAAACTAAACTCAAAAAACTAAACACAAAACTTAACTCAAAACACTAAACACAAAACTAAACACAAAGAAGTTACAAAAAAAGGCCATAAAATGCGAAGGACCTATCAATATCGGTCATAGACACAGTAGGTTTAAAGAAAAAGTTGCTACTAAGTAAATAGAGGCTACCGGCCACTGGCTACTAACTGAAAATTTTAATTTTCAGGTCTATACTACGTCATATCTAAAAGCAGATACCGTAATCATTAAGATGTGTACCGTAATCATTAAAATATATTTATTATTCCCTTAAGACCCATATTCAATAATACTTTTAATAAAACTCAAAGTTCTATAAATCACCTATATCTACACAAATGGGTCAAGCAGTTCCAAATAAATAAATATAACGTTTTTTACACATGAAAGGCATTTTTTTTTTAAAAAAAGAAGCAAATGATCATCTTTTAAAAGACAAATTTGATGTGTAAAAAAGTAATTTAAAAGGAGAAAAAATTCAAAGAATAAAATTATGGAGTTGGTATATAATCATTATTTATTTATTATTATTTTTTTAAATTATTAAAAAACTATTATGCACTTTTAATTTCATAAATGCAAAGATTCATAATAAAGATAAATTTCCATCTGGGTATTTAATTATTTTATAATTTTGTTTCATTTAAATTTACTTATATCATAATACATAAGAAATCAGTTATTAAATCAAAGTTTATTCATAATTCTTACCGTTGTACACTAAGTTCTAGAAATTTATTTTGAACAATTGTTTTTTTACAACAGACTTATAATGATTTAAAAAGAGAATTGAGTCAAAATTAAATAATTAAAACGAATAATAATCTTAATTTTGAAACATGGAATTCATTAAGCTATTCTAATATTTAAATTTTTATTTGCTACTTATTGAAAAAATTTTCTTGCGCTTTGCAATGTAAAAATTTTCAACTATTAACCAGCCAATTGCAATTAATGTATTATTAATGTTTTAAAATTTTTCAGAGATAAGCAGAGTAAATATAATTATGAACAAAACTCTATTCCTTGTTATACGCTTAATTTCTTTTAGTATCACAATAATTCATATAATTAATTTTGATTACTAAATTAATAAAGTGTATTTAATATTTAGAAAATTTTATTGAACACTACATTTCAATCATTGTTTACATTGTAGTTTTAGCAAAATTAACCAGAAAAATAATGAAATGCTTTAAGTTATAGAAGATAGACTAGTTTAAGATACTGTTTGTTTTGAAGTTTAATTAATTTAAATGACGTCAATTATTATAGCATGATACAGTTATTAATTTAATATTTGGAAAGAAATTCGAACTCATTACTAAAGCAGATAAACGAGAACGTTTTTACGATCAGAAAAAAAATAAACCAGTAAAGTATCATTACATTAATTGATATATTATCAACATAGAAATTTACGAAACCTCTGTAAAAATGTTTTTTCTAAGGTTACAGTTTTTCTGCATAATCACGAAATCAAAGATATAGGAATGAATAAATGGAATAAAAATTAATATAATACTTAAAATCACTGACATAATAGATATAGTTTAGATATTTCTTTTCTGATTTATTGAGTATATATAGTTAACTGTTCGCAAAGTTTTCATTTACTTTAGAAATTCAAGAAAATATTATAAAGAAAACCAGAAATATAATTTAATATAATATAATATTATAAAGAAAATGTTATCAAGAAAATATTATACTCCTTCAAGGATAAACAATACATCGCAGATTCTAAACAATTTGCATATCCTATATTTTTCTGACCAAGTTTAAACATTTAATTAATTTTTAAAAAAAATATTTTGTCATTAAAGATTTCTCTGATTATTTTATTTTACAGAAGATAAAAACTGGTAAAGTGATCACTTAAATTTTCTTTATTTTATTGTGCTGTCTCCACGCTATATTCAAGAAAATCAATCATCGGAGACGTTAATAGTGCTGTCTGAAATGCTGCCTCTATTATAATAATAATTAGAATTAATTAAAATATTTTCTGACGTGCTTGCTTATCAGACGGCATTACTATTAAACTGACGTTTGTTTAATCGTGTGTTAGAAAAACTGTAAAAAATAAAAATAATAACTATAAATGTAAGAAATAACTGTAAATTCTACAGAAGTGAAAGATATTTTCTTCGAAAAAATCTGTTTCAAAGAAAATATAGATTTTTGTTGTTTTTAACCCGCACAGCAAAAAATTCCCGTTCTTTTTTCAGACTTTCTCTGTATAGGATGGTTTAAAGCTGTTTTGTTGATCCAAGATTAGTCTATCTTTGAGGATATTTTGCGTAAGCACTGTGGTCGGTGTGAGCCGGGGTCGGAATTCGTATCAACCAGTTATCGCTGGGATTCGAACCCAGTTCACCTCATTGGAAGGTTTTTCCGTAAATTAAAAAAAAAAACCTTTTTTTTCACAGTGCAGAGCAGATTTTTTCTAGTAAATATAGATTTTTGTTGCTTTTAACCGTTATCCTCTCAAAGTAAAAAATTCCCGTTCTTTTTCGCAGACTTTCTCTCTGTATAGTGGATGGTTTAAAGCTGTTTTGTTGACCGTTTTTCTCCGTTTTTTATCCTAATCATAAACGGATTAAAACCATCAATTCAAATTCTAGTTTTTGTCATGCAGTTTTCTTACCGTACTACGGCAAGGAGACTTAAACTCATGATTCGTCTACCACTGAGGATATTTTACGTCAGCATTGTGGTCGGTGTGAGCCGGATGCGGAATTCGTATCGACCATTTATCACTGGGATTCGAACCCAGTTCACCTCATTGGAAGGTTTTTCCGTAAATTAAAAAAAAAAAACTTTTTTTTCACAGTGCAGAGCAGATTTTTTCTAGTAAATATAGATTTTCGTTGTTTTTTACCGTTATCCATGCAAAGTAAAAAATTCCTGTTCTTTTTTATAGACATTCTCTGTATAGTTTATGGTTTAAAGCTGTTTTGTTGACCGTTTTTCTCCGTTTTTTATCCTAATCATAAACGGATTAAAACCATCAATTCAAATTCTAGTTTTTGTCATGCAGTTTTCTTACCGTACGTACTACGGCAAGAGGATTCTAACCCATGATCCTCTAACTACCGGGGATGTTTTACGTCAGCACTGTGGTCGGTGCGAACCGGGTGCGGAATTTGTATTGACCAGTTATCACTGGGATTCGAATCCAGTTCACCTTAATGGAAGGTTTTTCCGTGAATTTAAAAATTTTGTTTCGCTTTTTTAGTGTGCAGAGCAGATTTTTTCTAGTAAGAAGTCAAACAATAATCATTGAAACTTCTGGGCAAAGCCGTATTACAGATAGCTATGCAGACTTCTAATAGAATGAAACGTGAATTAAAATTTTAAGTATTCGAAATTGTTATACTACTTAAGAAAAACTTGATTAATTGAAATTTAAATATGAAAATAGATCCCTGTGGTTGATCATTCATAAATATACTATTGATCTAATAATTTAATTAACTTCATTGCGTACTTTATTTGGAAAATATTTAATTAACTCTTAATACCCTTAACATGTTGTCAGACATCAATGAAATGAAAAAGAAGTACAAAAACACAAAAAGGCTATAAAAAATTAAAATTATTTGTAATTAAATAAATCCTTAGTTTAAACATTTTTGGTATCCTTTTTTTTAATATTCCAGAAATTATTATTATTTAGTGAAACAAATTGCTTAATTATTTAATTAGAATGATGATCACTTTATACGTTATTAATTTCACAGCTATCATAATAATTTTAAGTTTAAAAATGGTAAAAAATATTTAAAAGTGCTTGGCAGATATAAATTGATAGTCAAAAAGTGATAAAATATTTCTCATTTTAAATAAATAAGTGAAAGCTGAACTATTAAACAAAGTAGCGCAATCAGCCCACTGTTAATTATGACTCGGAATGCACCATTATCTCATCATCATTTATTGCTTAAGATTTCTCTAAAAAGGAGCCCATCGAGCGCAAAGAATAAAAAAGAAAAAGAATTTTGGATTGTTCCCAAAACCTGAGTAAGCTTGTAATATATTTTACAAAACAAAAAACCTGCTGTGTAGTATAATTGTGTTCTATTCATATGTTTTCTCCTACAATGAGAAAAAAGTACGGTTAAAACTACCAGAATTAGGAAAGATTTACCGTTATAGGAATATAAAAAAGCTTGGTAAAATTTCACCGAAGAGGCATTGATTTAAGTAAAACTAACAATAAAATATTGTCTTATAATATGTGTTAAAATTTGGTAAATGTGATTAAATGTTTTATCATAAAAACTTAGAGCGTGGCATATAAAATATTTATTTTGTTAAATTTTCTTTTCAGTTTTGTATTTTTACTAAATGTACAGTAATGAAAATTGTATTTTTAAAAACCAGAAGGTAATTTAAAAACGCAAAAGGTAAAATTGACATAAA